TTCTTCTTTTTCTTCTTCTTCTTCTTCTCCTCCCCCCCCTCTCTCTCTCTCTCTCTCTCTCTCTCTCTCCCTCTCTCTCCCGGACCTTCCTTCTCCCTTCCAATTTTTCACCCTCTCTTTTTTTCATCTCCTCTTCTTCATATACAGTGGGAGTAAGTTTGCCTGTGAGAATTTTGAGAGACCATTTGTCTGTCTCTCAATAATAAGTATGTGTATGCTGACGTGTGGTAAATTAGGGTAAAAAAGCGACTAGTTCAGCCTGTCTCTAGAGCTCCTGTTCGGTCAAAATGTAATATACTTGGTTATGAGGGTTGGATGATATTATAATGTGATAAAATACCAACGTGCAAAAGTCATCTAAAGGGAAAAAGGTAGACTTCACAAAAACGAAACAACTTAAAAAAGCACATTATATTTATTTTATTAAAGATGTTTTATTGCAGTGGATCAAAATCACAAGAAATGTTTAAAAAACCAAAATAAAACATTATAAATAACATTGTGAACATCACATTTCTTTGGTGCTCTGATTCTCTTAAGTTAAAAAAAAATTGTAAGTTCTATTTTTGGAGGTTTCAAATAAAGGCAAGTAATACGTAAGTTTTGTGCGGGTAGTTGGAGGGCGTCACTGGTAGGTCCTACTTCTTAATTTTCCCTCTGTTGTTGCTGTCTGTCAGTTATTTTTTCCCAGCACTAATTTTTTATGAACATTATTGTGTCGAAGAGCTTTTCTTTACCCGAATAAATAAACAAACAAACAATTGTTGTCACATTTTCTCATTACATGTACAATGACTTGTCTGTTGAAGATAGTATATTCATGTAAGTTGATACAAATACTTAATAAATTATGTCTATCGGCTCAACATTAATCGTTTTTTCACATTTTTTCAGCAACCTAGTGGCATAACTCCGACCAGCTGTTAAAATGTACTACGCTCAAAATTTTGAAGGAAAAAAAGAAAAAAAAGTAGTTTCATAATCTATGCTATCAGTTGCATGTGCTCAAGAAACATTTTGTCGAAATTCAAAATTTGAATGTTGGAAAAAAGGAAAGAAACTAGATAAAGCAGGCACAACTTTTAAAAGAACGAAAGGGTTTTTTTTTCTCGCTCCTGTAAAATTTTGCTTTCTGGTGAAAATGGTGAAATGGTATGGGTTTAAATTTAACGCCCCTAGCAACACTATTCTGGGCTTAGTACATTTTAACTGCTTGCCGACGATAAACAGTGCGTGGCTAAAGATATCTTTGTGTTTCTGTAGATACGAGCGAATTCCTGCGGAAATTGAACTTATCAGACGGCAATCGTCTTATGGTATTCAAAAAGGTACCAAATCGGTTCCATGCAAGGCTTGTGTACAACAGACAGTTCTCTGCATCTTAAGGTATGTCTCGATAACTTGTAGTTTACAACAATCCCAGCTGTGTAAGATAGAGCATGGGATTCCTCAAGTGGTATGCAGACCTATCGGGCTATGAACAGTTAACGTTAATAGTGAACAAACTTAGTTTACAAATTTAGGCGAGTGGAGTATTGACAGTTAACAAACCTGGGTGAGTATGATGGACAGTAAAAAAATGCAATGCTGCAGTTAACAAATCTAACACAGTGGAGTATTGTGTGACTGTTAACAGTGTCTGTTTTTGCCAGCATTAAATATTTTCAATACACAGAGCCACCCCCCCCCCCCCCAAATCAGTTTGTGTTCTGCGAGTCACCATTATCTTCTCACATTGTCACGCCAAAGCCCATGCTGCTCTGAAGAAGTCATCCCATCCCTTATTGTAACGTGGAAGTTGATACGCGTGAGTAAATAGTATAAGCTTTCTTTTTTCGACACAGTTTACATCATTTAAGAAGCGGGCTTCCGACCTTGTCTATCAGGACTAACCCGGGCTGAGAAGGATACAACATCCCAGCAGAAAGACCGAGGTACTCGATAAAAAGTTTTCTCCCCTTTTGGGAACCGAACTCTGGTCTCTTACGTGCGACAGCAAAGCGCCTAGGTGCTACACCACAGACGCCTGTATATAAGTTATGTTCATTTCCCTTTTTTCCAAAGATCAAGAACTTTGTTAATATATACATCTCTCCTTTAGCGAAGCATACTAGTACTTACACATTTCGCTACCTCAGAATTACAGTTTTATCTTCTCAAAAACTAGTTTCGAGAAATTTGATGTCAAAGATTTTGGATTTCTTATTATCGTGTCAAGCTTTTTAGAATGCATTTCTTTGAATATCTTGAAAATGACCCCGAATAATCTTACGATTTTGATAGAGCAGATAGGACATTTGGTTTCCTGACCTCATGGTCTTAGTGACTCAAAACAGCCAAAAATGTCAGATAGAACTTTGTGATTCTGAGGTAGAGATTTATCGAGTACAGTTTAATTGAGTTCTCGTATTTGAAACGCACAGTCTGTGATCGTGTAATGGACATCAGATATCTTTTCATTGCTCCGCATTCAAATCGAACTGTTTCATTGTCACATTGAACAAAAACAAACATCATAATATTATATCTGAACATTATTGATTAGTCCAAAAGGCTGAGCATATTCGAGTTTCTGCTCAATGGGTTGGACCGAGGGGAGAAAAAGCCGCTATTGGACGAGGGGAAACGAATACGACTGGAGCGCAGGATGAGATTGATGAGCTGTGAGCGGCGGGAAGGTAAGTCAAGGAAGAAATCATTGTCCCTGACAAGATTACGGCTGGACAAACTATCGAAGTTGTTGGATCTCGGCTCGGAATCCACACTGTTTCTGTTTCTAAAGTTTCGGGGACCGCCATTGTTACCCCTGTTTCTATTTGCATTGTTGCGTGGGTTCATTCCCCTGTTATTATTTCTGTTGAAGTTACCGGCCCTGTTATTAATACCGCCGACCGGAAGTGGACCACTGGCGGGCTGGAAGCTTTGATTAACAGGACTGATGGGAGTTTGGTTATCATTTCCACTGAATAATCCTTGATTGCCCAATGAAAATCCTGTTGGTTGAACATTTGGGCCACTTGAGCCAAGTTGGCCCCTGGTAAAAGCAAGACTCGGATCAAACCCGTCCGGGTTGACACTGCCTAGGGGGTTATTGGGGCCAGACGGCAGGGAAGTGTCCGTGTTTGGGAAGCTCATCTGATCAAGATTTTGCCCAATAGCACCGAGTCCACCACCTTGAGTCGAGCCTGGGAAACTGTTCTGATTGGGAGGTAGTCCTGGGAACTGATTCGTCCCTCCCAAGACGTTGGGGGTACCAACTGGCGGCATTCCGTTCTGCACGGTAGGTATGTTTACAAAGGGAGGAATTTGGGTCGCTCCTGCCATGGGTCCACTTCCGGTTCCGGTAGGATGTGCAGAACTTACGCCCATTTGTGCTCCGGTGTTGCCGTCGGTGTTGTTGTTGCTGTTATTGTTGTTGCTGTTATTGTTGTTGTTGTTGTTGTTGTTGCTGTTGTTGCTGTTGCTGTTGTCTGAGGTGCCTGCCATGGCCGAGCTTCCATCGGTGCCAATGGTCATTACTACCATCAGGTTCGTCCAGCATCGGAAAAATGACTGGACCACAGTGCACCTGTGAGAAATAAGGTTACGGTAGTGAATGAAGGTAAACCACGGGAAACTTACAGCACGACAGACTGATTAAACGAATCAAATGCAAATAGTTGAATAGGTAGATAGATAGATAGATAGATAGATAGATAGATAAATAGATAGAGAAAGAGAGAGAGAGAGAGAGAGAGAGAGAGAGAGAGAGAGAGAGAGAGAGAGAGAGAGAGAGAGAGAGAGGAGAGAGAGGAGAGAGAGAGAGGAGAGAGAGAGAAGGAAGTAAGTGAAACAGAGGGAGAGAGAGAGGAGGAGAGAGAGAGAGGAAAGATATATATATATATATATATATATATATATATATATATATATATATATATATATATATATATATAGAGAGAGAGAGAGAGAGAGAGAGAGAGAGAGAGTGACACTCGAAAAAGGCCAGCAAGAACACGCATACTGCTATAAAATATGTCTGTTCGTTTTTCTGTTAAGTGTATTGTGGTTCTACGAGGCGCATACCAAAAGTGTTTTAACTGACCATAAAGGAATAAACGTAGAAAGCTGAAATTTGGTATTAAGCTTAGTTTTCTTTATGTAGTCGCCTCCCAGAGTTATACATGTTTGCCATCTGTGTATGACCAAGAAAAGACCTTCAAAATAGAGGACCTCTCTATATCAGAAAACCCGCCCTCTGCTGCTTCTTTGACCTCATCATCACTTTTTGTTTAACATGAAAATTTTATCACAGTATAGAATGGGCAATCAATTCCATATACGGCATACATCTCCGTAAAAAATATCCGCAAGAAAAAATACTTCATTACTGCACTGCGCTCAATTTTCTCCATTTTTATGTTGAAACTGGAGAACAACATACCCCCATTCACTTACAGTGCGCTGGTGGTAAAACCAGTAATATCTGAAATTCCCCAAAATTTACAAGCATTTTAGAAAGCTAATTGTTGGCTTTCACCCCAAATTTCAGCTTTCTACTTTTATTCTTTCATGGTCGGGTAAAAAAAAACTTTTTGTATGCCCTTCGTAAATGTGCCGCAACATTGTCTTTTTCTGCTACGGAATGAAGCGGCGGTCAGAAAGTGCCACTGATAGGTCCTAATTCTTTTCTTCCCATCTGCTGTTTCTGTCCATCTGTCTTTCTTTTTCCCTGCACTATATATGACCGCTATTGTGTCGATGTGCTTTCCTTTACTCAAATGAACAAAACGAGGGGATCGGACAAAAGCTGTGTCCGCTACATCGTTTAAGGGTTGCTTAAATAATTCCATTAATTATAATTGCATTTATATAATGCATATATTATATCCACTCTCTACAGTATGCTCTATATGTTTTACAACCATTATTACCCCAGCAGACCTAGGAACACCCAGAAACATTCTCGGCTTCCCTGGAAGCATACGGTGCAAGCTGAGGATTGGAAACGTTCAGACTCTAACAAACCGACTAGATCTTGCGCTGTCTATTGTCTATAGCAGGGTACCCCTTTTCACCCGGGTGACGCGAGGGGAATTCGTGTAAAGCGCCTTTTCCAAGCACCCAACGTCGAGTCCCTGACGGAATTCGAACCCCCCCGACCTTACGGTTGCGAGTCCGAGAGCTCACCTAGGCCACCGACGCCACTTACCTTAACTTATACTCCTCGCCCACAGATGCCTCAGCGGGAGCGGTCCATTCATAGTCGACCTGGAATTTGGGTTCTCTGCTGACGTGGGTGACCCCAGTGCTAGGCCCGGAACCCTGCAGGAAAGAAAAAAACAACCTGTTTGCTGATCTACGTCCATTTAATCACAATCTCTCTTTTTCTCATTCCCATTCATTACTTTGTATGGTTAGTATTGATAGAATCTATGGTTTGTATCAGGAGTAGAAGTTTTGACACCCCCCACCCCCGTCAATGATAATATTTTTTCCCTAATACTAATCAGATCTAATCAGGTAAA